AAATCGTTGCGCTTGTTAATGGACTGGGGACCTGAGAACCATGACTCCAGCATTTCGCGGCTCACGCGGTTGTTACCTCTTGCGAGGATTTCGGCCCCGTCAAACTTAAAAATATGGCCGGGTCTGCGCATGACCATGATACCTATGACTAAGGATTCCCGACGGAATCCGAAACGTCAGGAAAATAAAGTGCACCTATGATTAAGGATTCCCGAGGGAATCCGAAACGTCAGGCAAATAAAACGCTTGTTCCAGTGATCGCATCTTCCTCTTCTGAACTGCTTCCTGGAACTCGAATATTCTCAACTATTGGCAATAACAACTTTATTGACAGACTTACTGCTTAAGGGAACGAAGGGATCATCCGCTGCCACGAAGCAAAGCAGAGGTACTTTGACGGTATCCAACTTGGAAGCCGGGGACGCCTGGTTGTAGTACTCTTCTACCGAGGAATATCCAAACATGTCGACTGTGAGATTCTCGTCGAATTCGCGAACAGATCGGCTCTAGACAGGGGGAAAGGGGGGGAGCGAGAAAGAGATACGCTTTATTTTCTAAATATAATTCCAAAATTTTCAGTTAAAAAGGTCCTCCATCCAAAATAGTGATTTCTCTGTACACTGCACTGAAGTTTACGTTGCAAATGGGGGTACTCAAAGGCTTATGCCTATTTCCATCAACAAACTAAACTGAGCTTAACTGAAGTCGACGGCCCTACTCCAGGCGATAAACTGCACGCCAGACCGACTCACGAGCAGATGAAGCAGTGAATGAAAAGCTCCGACGAAGTACGCGACTGTGCTAAGAGGTCGAGAGGTGAACACGCCTAGGGTCCGGTCCATGAGCAGATAAAGCACGTGCGACCAACTAAAGGTGTAAACGACACTATCAGAAGCCCTGAGTATTTTTAGTTTACTAGCTGTAATCAGTCAGCCATACTCCAACCCCGGGGGTGCTAACGTATGCAACAGTCACGACATCTTTTAACGAAACGTCAAAGTTCAGGGGGTGAGCGGTTGGAACTGTCGTCTGAGACCACCGGTGATGGATTGAGACGGAGGTGCTGGTGGGTGAAATGGTCAAGTAAATATAGCTTAAAAGTACCACCACGGGATAGCGTAACACCAAAAACCTGTAATGCGCAAACGAGAGTAATGTAGAAAGTATTTCGTTTGCATGTAGAGAACTGTGAATGATTTATTACAACTATTGAAGAGCAAGTTGAATGAAACTACAGAGTGTCCCAAAAATGTATACACATTTTAAATAATTGTAAACTTGGTGTTTATTATAATTTTATTATTTCAAAAAGATTAAAATATTAACACATCATTTTATTGTTTTTTTACTGCATTTTGACTGCTGTAACAGTGACTTAATTGAGAGAAGCCACTGAACATGAATGCACCCGAAAAACAAGGGAATTGTTTCATGGTATGTGCGATTTCATTGGTTCGCGTTGTCAGCAGTGTCATGATCAAAGTGGATGTCAGTTTGAGAACATCCAATTAAAAAAAAACAAAAAAATGATACTTGTAAATATTTTTACATTTATTTAATAAAAATTATGATAAACACCAATTTTACAATTAGGTAAAATGTGTATACATTTTTTGGGATATCCTATACATACGTAAGTGGATGCGTAGGTGTAACGGAAACGTAGCATTAATAAAGAAAATTTTCAGTAGTTTCTGGTGAAACACTGATTCGTTGAAATAGAATGCTCGGGCTAAGACTTACTTTGGTATAACCTACGGCCACAATAATCACGATCTCTGGAGAACTTTTTAAAATGAGCCGCCATTTTTTTATCCCTTCATTTCCATGTAAATTTTTTTATATATATACGTCGGTTAGCCTATTTCGCCCATTATAAATCGATTGTATCCCTCTTTGTTTGACCTACATCGAGGTCATCGGCGCACGACGCTAGCGCCATTCTTGACAGCAGTCCAATTTGGCCAATATTTGACGATTTTTCCAAGGACATTTACCCACTCTGTCGAAAATCGCAGTCCTTGGCGCTTGTTGGGTTACTTTCGACTTTCCCGGTGCTGTGAGTTTGTGCGCCTAATTTTATTCCTTTTGAATAGAGGACGTGGTTTGCTGAAAAAAATTTGGAATGACATTTTCAAAATAAAGCGCATCACTCTTCCTTTCCCTAAGTTCAACTACCAGCAAGAACGTTCTAGGGAGAGACGCTTCATTTTGAAAGTATAATTCCATTTTTTTTTCAGTGTGGATGAAATTGGGCAGGCAAAGCAGATAACATTGGCAGATAACAAACGAGGCGTAATGACAACTGTCGACATCAGGAAGAGTAATCGGTGAAAAATCGGCAAAATTTACGTCAACTGTTACTTTCAACGTAGCGCGCGCAATACCCAGATTTTTGTAGATAAAATACACAAACCGGGGCAAAGAAGAGCAGCACGCGGGATATTACCCCAAGAAACGGCATTTAATTAATTATTTATCAGATAACGGCAAAAGTAGTTTAAGTAGTGCACCTCAGATACCCCTAGTTCCGGAATTTTGTCCTATGGAGGCGATGGCTTTAGGGGCACTGGGGATGGGGAAATAGAATAGGCAGTGGGGGAAATTTTTAGAAGTGAGTATAAAGTGGGAAATTGTGGTTGAATTTGATTCCCGCGGCCACTGGGAGTAAGTTTTTCTGCATGCAAATTGAAGGAGTGCGCGGCGCTTCGCGCCGCGGTCTATGCTAATCTAACTCTAGAACGGGAAGTTGAGGTAGACGACCTCCTAACGAAAATTTCTATTTTTTACGGACTTCCAAGAAACCCTCATTTTAATAATCGGGTTTTTACGCGATACGTTAAACGATAATACAGATTAGGAAAATCTACACATATAAATCAACAAAATTTCTCAATACAATAAAATAAAAACGCATATATCAGTTGTTAAAGCGCATTCCACTGCCTATCCTAAGTTCCCACCCATAAAACCCCAATAATCACAGATTCTGTAGGAAGAAAAATGCTGGGATGCGGGGTATATGAGGTGCACTACTTAAACAACTGTTGCCGAGATAACAGCTTAGAAACAATAACCCCCTTCAAAATACTGTCGATCGGATGATGTCCCAACGAATTTTCCATTATTTGAAACATGGTTCTACTTATTCTTCTGATCTTATACTGTTAGAGCTCACTACCAATTGTTTTCTTAATCTTATCTAAGTTCCGAAAACGCTGCCTTTTGCGGTGGTTTTCAGCATTTTTAAGAATCAAAATAGGTTTTGGGGCGCCAGGAACCGGTATCATGGCGATTTACACCAAAACTGGTGGAGTTTGAACGCTCAACGGGAAGGCGCCTGTTCATGGTGAAGCCGTCGGTCCCCAGATCGCTACAATTTAATCCGACCTTCTTTCCTCACTGGCTCGCGCAGAGTTGTTTGAGCACTCGAGGGCACTACGGTTATTTCATTATTCATTCATGGACGCCTTGCTGCATGAAGTTTGTCATTGTAAAATCGTCTAGAGAGCGGTGCGCGAGGGGTTTAACGAAACAATCAGTCTGTCCGCTGCGATGGCTTCTCGTGAACGGTGGTGCGCAAACGTACCCGATAGCTGCACTGCCAACAAACAGGCCAGATGAAAATGGCTGTCGGTTATTCGTGAGGTACCCTCTCGCAAAGAAAGCCAACTGAGTGAATTAAGAGCAGTGGAAACAAAAAAGAGCGGCTCAATCTGAAAAGTCCACTAGGTGCCGACTCTGGTAGAGTCAGACTAGTGGTGATGCAGCACACAGCTGCGGCTAGGCTAAGTCACAAAGCCTATCGAGTCGCTACTCGCTCAAGGACACAATCTGATTGGTCCGATCTTGTAACGCTTGCTGAAATATCCTGTACTAGGTACGCAAAAAGGACTTCCTTTTATGCACCTTTGCCTCCTTGTTCTCCTTGGGGAATTGCAACAGAGCATCTGGGACGGCAAAGATTTTGGCTTTAGGCAACATTACATCACCCCCTCCCCACAACTAATAAGCACGCTGATAGAGAGTGAGTTCCGTTAGCCATCGCTAAAATTTCATCACCAAGTAACAATATCTGCCGCCCTAGACCGACCCGTGTCTCAATGTTTAGAGCGGTAGACTTCTAATCAAAACATGTCGTGAGTTCGAACACCGAGTGGTGCACCACTTGGGATAGGGTGTGACTGGCTGATGGGGGCTTATGAACCATAAACGGTCACTTTCCAATCTCCCTTGTATTTCCAGGCAACACCATCTGCCTAATAATTACGTTGTCAATTGATGAACGTTCACCCGACCGCTAATGGGACTCATCTGTCCCGCTCTGTCTGGGGTCTCAACAGAAGCCCTGACAGTCGTAGCAGCTGGTAGTGTAAGCAAATGGTATGAACGGCAAAGACAAGCCGGAGACTGGAATGGCCATTTCTGGCTTATAAGCCGTCCTCAGCCGGTCATACCCAGACCCAAGTGGCGTCCAATCCGAGCCTCGAACTCGCAACGTCCTTGATCAGAGTCAAACGCCCTAACCCTTGAGCCACGAGTTCGTTGTCTTGCCGGGTTAGCTCGAGGGATATTGACACTCGCTGATGAACGTTCACCCGAACTGGCTGACGGAACTCCTCTGCCCCGCTCTGTCTGGGGTCTCGACAGAGGCCCTGACAGC